CACTGCTTTGGCAGTGGAAAGGGGCCTTAAAGTGGGTGAATTATTTTGCAGAGCTGGGTCCAAATCCTTTCCCCTAGTTTTTGGATGCAGAGCAAGGGCAGAAGAAAATCAAACCACTTTTCCCCACCCTCTAGAGCAGGGTTGGGCAAGATGCAGCCCGGGGGCCGTATCTGGCCCACCTAGCACTTTGGTCTGGCCCGCGGACTGCATCTCGCTGCTCTCTATTTATATTCTGCTGCCTGTGCCCATGAATTTCCAGATGTCTCAGGCAGGAGGATCTTATTTAAATGGCTAATAGCTCCCAACTGCGGTGCTACCCCAGCAGGGGCCGGTAGCCGTGAGCCCTTTGTTGTGTTTTTAATTCAAAGCCTCTGGACCCAGACAATTCTGGAGGGAGGCTAGACCCCAACCCTGCCCTTCTACACCAGGCCCCGCCCCTTCTGGGGGTGGAGCTGGGCCGTGACCACATACCAAAATTTATTAAGTAGCCCCTCTGTAAAAATTATTCCCCACTCTTGCTCTAGAGGTAACTGCAAAACATCTAAAGTTTGGAAACTTGATTCTTAGAGGTCAGTTCAACGTCACTGAGAAGGAAGTTCAAATCGCAGCCAAGCATCAAAGCACAACGTGGCTGATAATTAAGCATGTTTGGAATGTACCTGAAGAGCACGGTGTCTTTGCAGAGATACCTTGGCCCGTGTGCACTGATCAGTGTGTATCTGCTATATCCCCTGGATGTACTACACAACTCCTAAGGAACTGAAGGGGCACCGGTCAGCTTTTGACTGAATGACTCTTGCAGCCTGGCAATTAGCTGTTTGTGTGTGTGTAACCCACACACCTGCTGGGGGTGGTGCACTGTCCTATGGAGTGGCACCGAGACCCCTTACAGAGAGAAAGAAGGAGTTTGCTCCAAACAGCTTAGTTGAGAGCTAGTTTGCTTTTAGCTCAAGCGGTACAGGCTCATGCACTAAGCTCCAGAGTCCCAGGTTTGGTTCCATCTTTTGCCATTACACGTGCTGCCCTGTGAAGTCAATGGATCTGAGTGTGGTTAGAGATATGTCCCCATTAGCAATCAATGAGCCCTATCTTAGTGCAAGATTTTTTCTAACATTGCATTTGTAAATGCCTACTGCAAAAGTATCGTTGCAGAATGAAATCACCAGAACACAGGAAACGTGTGATGCTTCTCCTCTTAAAGTCACCAGGAACTTTTCTTTGTGACTAATACTGACATCAATGGAAGGAAGGTTAGGCCAACAGCTTCAAGGAGAGCAGGAGCGTTGATCGAGGCACGGTGCACTTACGCACCATTGCCTATTCCTGGCTTTTAACATACTATCACGTGTGCAATTTCACCAACACGTGCAACTAAGCGTTGTAGCGGAGTTAACCCTCTTGCTAGTAACACAATTTCTGACCCTTTCTGATTTTAAGACAGTAGAACCTTAGCGTTATGAACTTGTCAGGAACAGAGGATGTTCGGAACTCTGAAATATTCCTAACGCCACACAAAACGCTGTGATGGTTCTTTCAAAAACCGTTAAAATGGAACCTTAGAATCATAGAGCTGGAAGAGACCTCAGGAGGTTATCAAGTCCAGCTCCCTGCCCAAGGCAGGACCAATTCCAAGTAAATCAACCCAGCCAGGGCTTTGACTAGCCAAGACTTAAAAACCTTGACTGTAACCGTGCTGGAACTGTACTATGCATAAGAAAATGCTGCTTTTCAGCATCTTCCTTTAAATGAAACAAACACAGAAGCTGTTTCCTTATCTTGCCAAATCTTTTTAAAGCATTTCCTGGTTTTTTTTTAGTAATTTACATTTAACCCGGTACTGCACTGCATTTGCTTTTTTTCGTCTCTGTGGCTGCCTGACTGTGTGCTTCCGATTGTGATTGATTGGTCAGTTTGTAGCTCTGGGGTTTGTAACTCTGAGGTTCTATTGGAAGTGTGTACATGCACAGAGGTAGCATTTAATTGTAACGTGTGTAATCCACTGTTGAAAGATCCGGGCTTGGTCCCGGCGTCATTCCAACAAGGCCTCTTAGCACCGCTTATGACTGGGGGTCAGAGGAAAAGCCGGTTACGTCCTGCAACTTCAAGCAGCTGAATTACAGAGCTGATCACACATTTCAGTGGTCTTATGACTACAAGATCCCCTGGTGGGTTCTTGCACATGGCCCCTGCACAACCTCTTGCTTATCTTTTTGCTCTTCTAGGAGCCAGAAATAGCTGGACAGAGGCCTGCCAACGCCCTTCCCCCCTGCACTCAGAAGATGTCATACACCCACTTGATGTGAACACATGATCCCTGGTTAATACCCTAGACTGGGAAGGTGATGACTCCCCAAGGTCATTTCCAACATGGGTCCTGGTGAAAAGAATCCTTTCTATTCCCTGTTCTAGCAAGCAGGTTTAATAACCCCATGCAATGATGAAAGAATCTCAGCAGTTTACATATCCACATAAGAACCACTGGCATCCAAAGGACTTTTCGTAGAACCCTAGAACTAGAAGAGACCTCACGAGGTCATCGAGTCCAGGCAGGACCAAGCATCATCTAGATCAGTGTTTCTCAACCTTTTTTTATAAAGCACCCCCTTTAAAAAAAATATAAGTACCCCACTACATACAGTTTTCAGACACATTATTTTTTTTCTACCATTGCTACACATTTGTTTAAACAGTTTAATTGTAGCTGGGCAGGCGATGACATTTTGCGGTGTAAAAGGTACAAAAATAATAAAGCGCTGCACAATTTCAAACAAAAATTCAGTTGTCTCCAAATTTCAGTTGTGTTGACGTACCCCCCCAGACTTCTCTCGAGTACCCCTAAGGGTACTCGCACCATCGGTTGAGAAATGCTGATCTCGATCATGCCGGATAGATGTCTCTCTCTTTTGCCAGCCTGAGAAGTTGCTAAACGTGAACGGAATGAGGCTCGTGGTTTATTCTTCTTCAACCCTAGCACTGAAAATTCCTCTTCTACGTGTCTCTGAATTTTCCTCACCTTCAGCCCCTTTTACACTCCCCCTTGCAGGCTCTTTAATCTATTCTGGTGTCAGAGACTTTAAACCAGAAGGGCCAACTACTCCTTAAAACAAGCCATAGCATTCCACCCAGTGCCTTACGCAGCAAGCCCATAAACTCTAAAAGGCAACCAAGCCTGATGTAATGATGTTGGTCAGAAAGGCCTATATCCCTTCTGTGCCCTAACTTAGCTCATGGTATTTACTGGACACACCAGAATCAAAGGGAGGTAACTCCAGATAACTTTATCTCATGACTAGTCTCAATTCCTGGAGCCCCTTGAATGCTGCATTTCTCACCCAGGGAACGCCCTGAGCTATAAAAATATTCACGGGCATTTCTCTGCAACTCCCCTGCGAGTTCTCTTGGACTGCACATGTGTCTCTTTGTATCTGTTTTCTGAGTAGCTGTACAAGTTGGGGGTTTTCTGTCTCAAAAGTCCCTGGAAGGCTCAGAACTACTCCCTGGTGCAAACAGTAATGTTTGCAAAGCTTTGTGCAGCCATCTTGCAACCTCGATGATTTCCCTCCACCTTTTAAAATCCTCCCTACAGGGTGCCCAGCCTGGCTCAGGTGACCAATCACAGGCCCTGAGTAACAAATAGCGAATAACTGTAAGCACAAGGGGAACCAATCCGTTCACACGCAACTCAGAAACTGGCACAGCAATTATTTGCTTGCAGTCAAATAATGGACACACTGGTCAGATGGGTCTGCGTGCAGCTCATCCCGGAACTGGAGAAAGGCTAAACCCACAGAATAAATAGCTCAGGGAGAGAACTTGGCTGGTAAACAGTCAGCACCCTGAGAATAACAGCGATTGCACTTCCTGCTCAGCAGTGCAGGTAGCAAAGGCAGAATCTAAGTGTCAATGCTTCAGGGTGAGGTGTGCAGACCCTACACCGTTTTCCTGCTGCTCCACATTGTAGGTCTCAGACCCCTTCTCCCTGTAGCACAGTTCCTTTCCTCAGCCAAAAGCATCTTTCTTGCTGCTCCCCCCAGGAACCAGTGATGAGCTAGTGGCTTGGACAGAACTTAAATTGAGCCCAGACTGGGCCAGATGTTGCTGCGTGGGGGGAATTCACCCTTTCTCCGGGCACAGCTGCTAACTCTCTCCTGTCAGGGAGGTGTTGCTATCGGAGCCTGTTTGTTCTGCCTTGGGGATTCACCCGCATGCTGGGCATAGCTTGCCCGGGAGAGCTCAGGATACCACCCGAACAGTTCTGCGAGTCTTGGAGATGCCACATGACAAAAGTGGTTTCTAAAGATGCAGACACGCACACGGCTTCCCCTCTGAGGCTCTCTGGCTGCAGGACTGTGGAAGGAACCCCCAGACCTCCCCCTCCTTACATACCCACATTAGCTCCTACACCCTCTCCAAGACACTCAGACCTAGGCAAAGAACCCCTGGACCCACCCCCTAGCTACAATCCACAGCTCCGGTGTTCAGGAACAAGGTGTCTCGGCTTCCAGGCACTGACTCTCCCTAGAAGCCCGCCAGCCCCTCTCCCCCTGCTCGTGGTTTTGGGGAAGGGGCTTTGTCTAAAGTGGGGGGCGCCATCCAGCTCCCCCCCGCGCCAGGGAGACTAACCGGGACTCATGGGGGGGGCGATGGTCCCCCTAGCTACAATCCACAGCTCCGGTGTTCAGGAACAAGGTGTCTCGGCTTCCAGGCACTGACTCTCCCTAGAAGCCCGCCAGCCCCTCTCCCCCTGCTCGTGGTTTTGGGGAAGGGGCTTTGTCTAAAGTGGGGGGCGCCATCCAGCTCCCCCCCGCGCCAGGGAGACTAACCGGGACTCATGGGGGGGGCGATGGTCCATGGGGCGCTCTATGCAGCCCTGCAGCTCCCCTCGCCCCCCGGGCTCGCGGGTAGGGGGTCCCAGAAAGGGCAGGATGGGGGGTGCCCCCTTTCCCCGGGCGCTGTGCAAGGGGAACCCGCCCCGCTCCCGGGCGCACGCTCGCGGTTACCTTGCTCCGGGCCGGGCAGCGG